CTTCCCAGGTCATTTGGCTGCTGGCAGTGCCTCCTCCCCAGCTGTTGCCCCATTCATTTGTTCCCGACGGGTAGCTCCATTCCTGCCAGCTAGACATGGCTGAGGCGAGAGGGCTTGGTGCAGGTGGTGCTTGTCTTGGGCCAGGGCAGCAACCACCAAAAAGCAATGTTTTTGTTATGTGGCTTTCCAGCCACCACACCCATCCCTTGAATGTGGCTTTTCAGCCACCACACTCAACCCTTGAATGTGGCTGTTCAGCCACCACACACAACCATTTAGTGTGGCTGTTCAGCCATCACACTTAACCCTTGAATGTGGCTTTTCAGTTACCACGCTAAGCTTAGACAAATTTCATGGCTATCCAGCCACCACACTCTCCTTTACAAGTCTTGTGGCTATCCAGCCACCACTGACTAATGGGCAAATCCATGGCTATCCAGCCACCTTATTTAAAGCAACCCTCACATGTGGCTAAAGCAACCCTCACATGTGGCTTATATCCAGCCACCAGAGTCAGCCCTAACATGTGGCTATCCAGCCACCAGATGTATCTAAAATTCAATCGAGAAATCAATAGAAAGATCAACCGAGAGATCAATAGAAACTTGTCTGTTTTTCAAGGAAAAATGCTTTTCAAAAATCAATCGAAAATTCAAAGCAGAATCTATTGAAAAAAACTGTTTTCAATCGAAGATTGATTTTGCTAAAAAATCAATCGTCCTATTGATTTTTTCAATAGGGGAGCCTTTGGGAGATCAGGAATATTGAACTCGAATGAAAGTGATATCAATAACAATGGAAATGGGAAAGAGTAAGTGAAACGGACATGGAAACGGAAACGAATACGTCTGGCCTGGTCCTCTGTGTCTTTTGATTCTTCTCCTTCTTTGCCTTGTTTTTCACAGGTGGCCTGTCGAACGCGAAGCAGCATTATATTGTTGAGACATGACAGATTTCCAACCTGACGGATGCTTGGCTTGGAGAGCGCGTATGTGATCTGGTACGACTTGGCCGGGTCCTAAAAAAGAAAAAAAGAAGGTCAGATCGAACGATGAAGGACAGCAAAGAAACTGATCTCCTGTCATGGTCTGCGGGATCTCCAGGGCGCTTCGTTTGAGGTAGCTCCTGTCAAGAACCGAAATCATTAGGAAGCTCATGGACATGCTGTGGATCGTGCGGTCCTGGGGGGATAGCAGTGCAGCTTGCAGGGCAGCATCCTCATCCACATCAGCGACACCAGCGTCAGCACGTCGAGGGGGACACGCTGGTTCAACAGGTCGAAGAGTGGGCACACTAGATGTTCCTGGGGCCGGAGTGCTAGGTGGAATTTCATCCGGAGTGATACCAAGACTTTGTCGGAGTTGTTCTGCGAGTTGTTCCAGAGCGGCTTGATCGTAGGCGCAGTGTTGAGGCCGCTGGACAACTACAATTGCACCAGCCGACTCCTGAATTGTCATGTCAAAACTCAGGAACATGAAGTGACCTTGCAGTAACGAACATGGACAAGAAATCAAACACTTGACACGGAAACGGACACACGCCAAGCCTTGCAGGGTCCAGTTTTTTTGCCCGTATAGATGCCAATGATTTTCAGCCAATCGAACAACCACCATGCATGCTCCAACTTCGTCGTCTTCAGCACTGCATAGCCTCCTGTCTGGAACCCTTTGTTGACGACCTCCACGTCATAGTGTTTGACAGATTCATAGATTTGCTCGAATGTGCCAGGAGGAGTGTTTTTGCCTCCCATCCATACCTTAGCAAACGTGGATTCTCTGAGTGGGGGTTATTTACAGCCTAACTGCAGACCTACTGCAGCCTAGATACAACATACTTCGTTATGGAAGGCTGACCAGCCGACATCTTCGGCTGTTCACCCGCCATGGTGGCAGACTTGCGCGCCGCTTGAAAGATAAATGACGAAAAGATACATGCAATCGAATCTGTAGTTCTTACAGAAGAAAAATTTGCGAGCGTTCAGACGTTACGCGGTTGCATTTGTTGTTGTTGTTGTTGTTGTTGTTGGTGTTGGTGGTGGTGGTGGTGGTGGTGGTGGTGTTCCTGGTTTCCAGGACATTGTTATTGTTATGTTGTTGTTTCCAGGACAAGGAAACAGAAACATAAACGGACAAGAAATGAAAAAGGACATGGAAACAGAAACAGAAACGGACAAGAAATGAAACTGGACATGGACACAGACACAACTGTGTCTTTTGGCTCTCCATGTTCTTTGCTCAACTCTGAAGGATACGTCCTATCTAAGCAGCAAATGGTTTTCCAAAGTACTTTCGACTGAGACGTACCAGCTCGAGGCGACCAATGAAGCATAGTTTCACCCCATAGCGCAAAGCGCCCGCAAGGTTTCTTGAACCTCGACCAGACCGGACCCCATCTTGGTCAACATGTCCTTGACGTCGTTGAAGTCCGCAGTTCCAACCATCTTGACATGTTCCAACTTGGTCTGCAAGCTGAACAAGCGATCGGTCAGCTGCACCAAGTGTTGACGCAATTGTCGCTGCGCGTGCCCCTGGGGACCTTGGCTGAATAGCTTTCGAGCTTGCTCACGTGCTTTGACCGGCGATATGTAAGGCACCCATACCGCGGCCCAACGATTCATTCGTCAAGGCCAAAGTGGTCGGAGCCTTTGTCTCGGCGCCAAAAAGCGTCAGGGTAGGGCTGGTCTGCTGGTTGGACAAGTTGTTGTCACCTAGCGCTAGAAAATTTAATAGCAGAAACAAAAACAGAACCACGTGAAAACCAAACAATATGGCTTGCAACCGTGGGGCTGAGGCTAGGAAGGAAATTGCTCACGAACGCATTCATAGACTTGAAAGCATCGTCAGAAACCTCCGTTCCTTTCTCAGCCTGAGTGCTGCTTGCAGCCTCTGTGCTTCTTGTCAACTCGATTGTGTTGAAGACGTAGAATACACGGCCAGCTTGCGTGGTTTGAGACACTTCACCATCCGCCATAGCCTTCTGCAAAGCTTGTTCGGAACCAAGCTTCGAAATCATCAAAGACTTGGGCATACCGACTGCCCTCTGGGAACCTTTGGTTTTCTCCGTGTAAGTAGACAGCATTTTCACAGCCTGACATTCCAAGTTGAAGGTGTAGGAGCCTTTGGAATCTTTCTGTACGGCTTGGTTTACCAACTGAGTCTTCTTCTCTCGGTTCAAATCTTTCCCTTGGAAAGCTTTCTGCACCTGCCACGCACATAATGCAAAAAAACAGCACGGAATTTTTTGGAAAAGACTTGGAGGAAACAAGACACGGACACAGATGATTGGGCCTCCTCCGGCAACTTGGAAAAGTTTCTGTGAAAGTAGCCGGCTTTAGCGTAGTCTCGAGTTTCTTTGGTTCTGTCCGCAGTCTCGGTGCTGGCTTCCACACCAGGGTCAGGTGTCTCTTCCTGCGGCTCTTCGATTTTAAGCTTCTGTGCCTTCTCCTGGTCCTTCTTCTTAGCCTTGTTTGTGCTTTTATTCGTTTCCTCGTCACCCTTGCTTGGTTCCACAGAAGGGCCTGCAACCTCTGTCGAGTCATTGTTTGAAGCTGGACGCTTCAGAGTCTTGGCTTGCTTGACCGTCTTACGCTGGTGCTCATCCCTGCGAGCTGCTGGGCGCTTGAGTGGAGTCTCCTGAGGTGTCCTGGTTTTGGAACTGCACTTTGGGCTGGCCTTTGGCGCCCCCGCAAGTCTTTCAGCGTCAGCTAAAGCCTGCTTCTCTGAAACTTTGGGCGGTGTCTCGGCCGCCATGATCCGATTTATATCCTTTTTTGTGATCCTTGAGCCAAAAACCCTAATATAACATATTATCCCAAAAGACATTTAGTATATATTCTATTTACAATAGCCATATGCCCGCACATGTCTATTGAACAAGATCTCAAGAAACATTGTAAGCCATGACCCGGCTTGAGAAAGACATGGAAACAATTAATAAATTTAAAACATAAAGCAACAGAAAAAGGAAATGGACACGAAATGGAAACGGACACTGGAGAAGGAAACGAAAATTGAAACGGAAATTGAAACGGAAACTGCATGTTTAGCACTTTTTCTGCCACCTCCAGGTCTAAATTGTCGAACTCCAACGACATTCGTGCGCCGTCCAACACGCGATACGCTTCAATGCGCTCCACCGCCTTGCCATCAGTCATCTTGGCCAGCAAATCCTTCACCATGTCCACCACGGGGTTAAGCTCTCTTGGAACTTGGTTCTTTTTCTCATCTACCTCTAACTTCTGCAAAGCGTCAGTGAGAGCACTGATCATCTTGTTTTTCCATTTTTCGATTTTGGTCGGAGACTTCGCTTGACCTTCTTCGCTTGACGACTCATCACTCAAGAAATCTTCCAACAACATCGGAACTGGTTGAGTCTGGACACGGTCAGCAGCTGATTCATCTATCACCAGACTTCCGTCAGGTGCCACAGATGATGACACTCCGTAGAACAGCTGGTTCGAACTTTGGGCAGCCATGACGTGCACAGAAATCGGGTGCACCGATCTTTGTTGATCGATAATCAGAAATTTGCACAATAATTTGAACCGAGCCGCGGACACGCAACAAGAAACAACGATTTTTCTGAAAAGGAAAATGGAAACAAGGACATCGCAATTACAAAAATGACAAGAAAAAACACGAAAACAAAACTTGAGAACCACATGGAAAAATCCAATGTACATGTTGCATTAAAAAACAAAATGTTCAATTATACGATATATTGAAAATACTTCCAAAATTATCAGCATATATGTTCTTCATTCCCTGATAATAGACTATCACCAAGTATGTGATAACCCCCGTAAAGACTATCATAAAATGATGATAACCTAGACTATATCCTGTCTATTAATAACCTAACCGGATCCTAGGGGTGCAAGGGCCACACAAGCTTTGGGCCAAGAATCATGGACTGGGCTGGGATGATTGCAAGATGCTAGCCTGGAAAAGGCTCTGGCTTCAAGCCCCTGCTAAAGAGCAGGTGCAGTGCCTGAAGAAGGCATGTGGAGCAGCGGATATCTGCTAATAGCAAAAAAGTGTGCTTGGGCTTTGGGTGGTCAAAGGGAAGGCAGTGAACTGAACATGTGTATCCCTCTTTGCTTTCAGCTCAAGTGCAACATGTTGGCTCTGTGTGTTTTTTGGTTCTTGCTGTGGAGCCATGTGGTAGGGGCGCCCAAAAAGCAGCTAGAGCCTGCAGAAAGGCTGTGGGTTCAATTGCAAAAAGATTCCAAAGAGACAAAGAAGAAAGCAGGAAAGACAGTGGGAAATAGATTGACAAAATTATATAAGGAAAACAAACTGCCAGCTTCAGATGTCTCTGAGCTGCTTCAAGCTGCAGATGAAGCTGGCCTGGAATTTTCAAATCCAATTCCCAAAAAGCGGAAATTTGAGCCTGGTAAGGCTCCTGAGCTTGGAGAGGCAGAGCCTGAAGAAGGCTGCAGGGACAAGAATGCTGCAAGAAGCCTGGACAGATTCCTGCGAAAGAATCATACTTGGAAGGATTTGTATTGGGCAAAGATTCCTATGAAGAATCCCAAGAAAAAAGCAAATGATATGGAGGAAAAGTGGATGCCATTCTTGCTGCCCCATGAGTGGCTCCCAGATTATTTCCTTCAAAGCAGTCCCTGGCAGGAAGGCATGCCTGAAGAAGGCAGTTTTTGTTGGCCAGCAGGTTGGCCAAAGCTTGTGAAAGCTATGGGGAACCCATTGGAAATATGTTTTCTTTGGGTTTGCATGGTGATGGAGTGCCTGTGCAAGGCAGAATGAATCAAAGCACTTTGGAATTTTGGACAGTGAATTTAGTCGGATCAAGGAGATTCAATCAGCTGAGAATACCCATTTGTGCTTTAGGTGCCAGAATGATAGGATGGCAAACGATAGAAAAATTAGCCAAGTCATGTTGTGGAATTTTCATTGCCTGGCTGAAGGCAAATTCCCCAGGGCCAGGCATGAGCCTGGAAAAGCAGCTCTTGCCCAAATCCGCTCTGATTGGGATTGGAATTGCAAATATTTCCATGCCCCGCAGTGGAACGAACAGAAAGGCATGTGCTGGCTTTGCAAGGCCAAGCCGGAAAATTGGAGGGAGATGACCACATGCCCTGCCTGGGAAAGGCAAGAGCAGAGCCTGGACAAGGCTGAATACCTTCACTTTTTGGCTGACAGAGAAAAGGAAGCGAATCCATTATTCATTTTGCCAAGTGCCAGCAATGACACTATGGTGCCTGATTGGATGCATGTCCTTGATGAAGGCACAGGTGCTCTGGCAGCTGTGCAAATTCTGAAGGAGCTGCTTCCCTTGTATCCTGGAGCCCATGTGGATGAAAGGGTGTCCCAGCTGTGGGAGCACATCCAAATTCTTTATGAGGAGCAGCACTGGCCACAGGACAAGAGGCTGAAGAAATTAACTTTGAAAGACATCGTCAAGCCCAAAAAGGTACCAGAGTTGGATGGCAAGGCCCATGAGGTCAGGCATTTGTGCCCTTTGCTGGAGTGCCTGTGTAAGGCAAAAGGCTTGCATGAAGGCAGTGTGCATCAAAAGGCTGTGTACAAAGTGGCAAAGTATTGCAGCAAAATGTACAAGTGCCTGGAGGAAGGCAACCTACTAGAGCTTGAGAAGGCTGGAAGAAAATTTGTGAGCCAGTATATGGCTTTGGAGGCTGAAGCTACTTCTGCGGATGAATCTGAAGTGAAGCTATGGCGATCCAAACCCAAATTCCATGTGACCAGCCACATACTGGATCTAGTGTCCTTGGGGCACAACCCAAAGCATTCTTGGAACTACCGAGATGAAACATTTGCAGGATGTATGCAGAAGCTCTCCTTCAGAAGGGGTGGCAAATTTGAGCCAGGAATGGCTGCAGAAAAACTTTTGCTGAGATGGATGGCTGACATACCATTTTTACATTTTGCAGCAGCCATCCAGCTCTTCCAGGAGCCTGTGAAGGCTACTATATAGCTTGTGAAAGGCTACAGACTAGTTGTGCATGGGGACATGATGCAAGGAAAAACATGTGCTGGGAAGTCTGGCATAGCCCAAACTTCTAAATATCTCATGTTTTCAATGATATGTTCAAATGTTTTTGTACCAAAATAGTGGAACCTAGAAGCCTAAAATTTTGTCTTCTGGAAAAAAGCTAGAAGATCATTTTTTTGTCTTCTGAACTTGCTATTTTTAAAGGTTTTCCCAGAAGCCTAAAAACTTGTCTGGCAGACTCTCTGGGAGGCTTCTGTTTTTTAAAGAAAAAATGTCTTCTCGGAAGCTAAGGGAATGTTGTTGCTTTCTGAAGCGACAAGAAACTAGCTCCAAAAATCTCAGGCCTCAAAACGGTGCCTCCTCCACGGTCAAGCAGCATGCTACGGAAGGACGGATCGGGCACGAAGTCGGCGGCCCAGACGGCCCAACGCTGCCTTCTGAGGTGACAAGAAACTATGCTCCAAAAAGCAGCTCCCAGGCCTCAAAAACGGCGCCTCCACCACGCTCGACTGCTACTGGAGGACGGATCGGGCACGAAGCCGGCGGCCCATAACTTGACGTTGCTTTCTAAAATGACAAGAAACGAACCTCAAAAAGGGCTCCGCCACTCTCAAACAGCATGCTACTGCAGGACGGATCGGGCACGAAGCCGGCGGCCAAATCCAAATTGCAGCCTTCAAGCTTCTTCTTCTTCTTCTTCGTCTTCTTCTTCTTCTTCTTGTTGCTTCCTCACTTCTTGCTTCTTGCTTCCTGCTTCTTGTTTCTTGCCTCTTCTTCTTGCTTCTTGCCCCTTGCTGCTGACGCGCCTCCCCCTGCTGCAAACATCTGCAAACGGGGTCGGTGGATTCCACCTGGCTAGCTATCTGTTTTGCTGATGGAACTTCTTCTCAGCCCTTGTTCAACCTGTACAGGTTCCCACTGGGCATTGAATCACGTATTGTAATTCATGATCATTGTTCACGAACTCTGCTGGCATCACCTGTGTTTCTACCTTTTTGCCCCGCATAGTGACAGGTCTTGCAGCAGCTTGGCTACTTAGATGAAGAGATGAATAAGGATGATCATTCGAGTTGTCGGAGGATTGTATTAGCATGCGCAGTTTTGCCTAGTGAACATCTTGGCAACAGATCGTGAATCCAAAACAACAAGTGACCAAACAAGGAACAACAAACATTAGCCCTGGCCCTGGTTTCTCGCCATTATTTTGCCATAGAACATGAACACTGGTCACCATGGTTCACGAAAAATCTTCACTCAATGCCCGCAGGATTTAAGTGAAGCCATTGATGTTTTCGCCAACATGTTACTTGGCTTGTTGTAACGCTCTGGTCCTTGCAGCTGATGGATGCCATTTCTTTCCTGGGAATGGGGTTGCATGAACCACCAACCACCTGGGTGAGAGCGGTATATTGGAAGTATAATACCCGTACAAGATCGTACAAGGAGAACGATCTACAAGAGCTAAGCATGTGCCCAATGTCAATGATGGTAGCCATGGAAGTTTGACCAAAGACCAAAGAAAGTCAGAGTGAAACAACCCAGGAAGACACACGCGCACCAGGTACCCTCAATTCAATAAGCTCCCAACTGAGAATGGTGGAACGCTATAAACGCAATATAGTCGTTGAGCGTAGATGACCTCTCGTTTGTTTCTCTAATTGCTTCAGTCTGCTTGGTATGGCAATCGTTTTAAGGAAAGACAACCACAAGGCGCTGCAGTTGCTCGACATCTCGATCAAACCAGATTTCTCAGCCAGTCCCCGAGGAAATTGTGGGACCGAATGCCAGGGGCATTGACAGATATGGATGGATTCTTCAGGGCAACATCCGCGAAACAACTTCACGGCCAGGTTGCACATCAGCGTTCACTGGCTACATGTGCTTGCTATCACTGCTACTTAGTCACTACTTGTTCATCAGCATTGTTAGTTTTTTGTTATTTTTGTTTATCGTTTCCATGCCTTCTCTTTACTTGCCATTGTGAGGTGCACCGCAAGGTCGCATTGGTGCATTGTGCACTAGTGTCGCCTCGGGTTGTTGGAGAATGGCAGACGGCACCTGGTGATGGTCGGGTTCCTAGACAACTTGAAAAGGTTGTTACTTATTCCATATTAATTATATTATTCATTTTATATCATTCATATGGCTGCAGGTCAAAAGCGTGGTACGTTGTGAACACCAAAACAGCTGAAAAATGGGATGTTCCTTCTTTCCTTGCTTCGGAGTCACTGAATCATTGAACTCATCTCTTGACTCTCAGCCTTGCTTAGATCTTGCCCGACGCTACCTTGCCGCCAACGGCTACCTTCGTGCCTTGGTTGGCACATTCCACGCCTGTTTGCATAAGCTGTTTCCTCCAAGCCTCCCAAATACTTTGTTTGATTTGGATTGATGCCGCAGTGTATGACCATCCTACAAAACACTGACAAACATATTCTTGGTGTCGGTGATAGGTCTAGAGAGATTGCTGCAGTTGACCGGGCCAGTTCGATTTTCCTTGTCAGGATGTTTGCAGGAAATGCAACAGGCTAGACAACAAAACCAGTAGGTCAGCTGTATTTGATGACATGGCAGACATTGCCAAATTCAGAAGTTCTTCCCTTTCCATCTGTTTGAACCAGACCATTCCTTGTGACCTTGTTTGTGTTTTCTGCTAAGTGGCCTTTAGAAAGAGGTCAGTTAAGGAAAACGTAGAAAGAGGTCAGTTAAGGCTAAGGAAAACGTAGAAAGTGGCCCACCAGTGACACGCAAGTGACGCGCAGGTGACACGCAGACAGCCAATCCTTAAGTGACCTTTTCAAGGCTTAAGTGACCTTTTCAGGGTCCTAAGTGATCTCGTTTCATCCCATCTCGAAACCCCAGTGACACGCAAGTGACACGCAGTGACACGCAGAATTCATGTGATCAGCCAGGCAAAGAGGTCACTTAAGGATTCTTGAAACGAGGTCACTTATGCATGATTGATCTTGTAAGTGACCGCTTGGCACTGTGGGTCTAAGTGGCTTCCATTAGAGGGCAGAAGTAACTGCCTGGAGTATGAATACTAAAAGTATTCCTGTGACAAGAAACAGACTTTAATCCCGCTATCAAATATGTGCAGCTGCAGGTTGTCCCCAGAGCATTGCTCAAAGTCCCTTGGGGACAAACAGAATGAATGGTCCAACAGTACACTGAGGGACCTCGTCAGCTCCGCGTGGGGATGTCTTTGCTGCACTTCACAGCTTTAGTCAGCAGATGCAGCTGCCAACGACCAGGAGCCAAGAGGAATGCGTCGTGAAATTTATTTTACAGCTACAAGAAACTTTCTTTGATTACATAGATTCAATTTCTTGAGGACAGTTTTCCACGTTTTGCTAGATTCATATTTCATTTCGGCACACTAACATTCAATGAGATTTTTTCAGTGTGACAAGCGGGCAGTCTTGCATGCTTTGTTGTTGTGGCTAAAGTTTCGAAAGATGTCCGTTTGAAAGAAAAAGAGGGAATGCCGTTGGGGTTAGTATTTGAGTTTTGTTTGCATTGTTTATCAAAGAAATATCAGATTGCACAGACCATAGCTTCTGCATTCCGCAGCAGCTAACCAACAGCCCCATGTTTGATGTTCGATAAGTGCGAGGACCTATAATGCTGCGGTGAAAGAGCTTAGCAACTGGCTGACAGCCGCTGATTCGAGCCGCCGTCGAGCAAGAAAAATACTTCCGCAGAACTTTCCGTAGACAAAGAGATTGTGAAGTTCGACATTATCTGCCAGACACCTTTCACATGGGTGGTGAAACTTCTCCCAGAGTCCTAGGAATCAGGCTGGCCAAAGCAGCAAGCTCCATACTTGGTGACTGAGCGCCAGTGAACCGATTTTTTAATCCTGCAGCTGTTTTAGCCATGTGCCTTTGCAACATTGCTGCAGAACCCTTAGATGGTCAAACATTTCCAAGGAACATGTTGAACTACCCTTCTCTGTTGCAGCTTTGTTCAGTTTCAGCATAGTTGGAGTCTTGGGATGGAAGTACTTTTTTCTTCAGCACATCCGACAGAAGATGGAATGTTCGTGAGTTTTTCTGAGATCTGAGATGAACCATGCAGACACCAGAACGGTATCCAGATCAGTATCGCCACTTGAGACTTTGGACGTCAATAGCCGCAGCTGCCCCGTGTTGATCTTCCACTGCTGTGGTGCCGCAGTTCACCATTTTTGATGGAAACGGCCAACGAGCCGCTGCTCAGCGATGCACCGGGCATCAAAATTTCGTGTAGCCGCTTTCCAAGGCAACTTGGCAGAACAACTGGCAACCTTCTGACATTTCTGGACGCAGGTTAAGTTTGTACCTATAACTAACTAGAGGAAAGAACATTGAGACCGTGCCTGAACTTTACGATTGCTAAGGTAAAATGTATCTCTGTGATGTGACCCTTCTGCCTGGAAAATAGCCAAGATGCAGCCCACGAACCGGAATGCAGTCACGTAACGTAGAACACTATTGTGAAACACGTTAATTGAGCATTCTTGTGCATGTTTCCCCTGCGACCGTACCAGAGCACTGTAGACTGTGGAATGTGAAAGAGGGTGGAGTGCAAAGTGTAGAGAAGTGTAAAGTGCAGAGTGTGGAGTGTAGAGTGTAAAGTGTGGAGTGCCGAGTGTGGAGTGTAAAGTGTAAAGTGTGGAGTGTGGAGTGTGAAGTGTAAAGTGTGGAGTGTGGAGTGTAGAGTGTAAAGTGTAGAGTGTAGAGTGTAAAGTGTGGAGTGTGGAGTGTAAAGTGTGGAGTGAGGAGTGTAAAGTGTAAAGTGTGGAGTGTAGAGTGTAGAGTGTAAAGCGGGGAGTGTAAAGTGTAGAGTGTAAAGTGTGAAGTGGGGAGTGTGGAGTGTGAAGTGTGGAGTGTGGAGTGCAGAGTGTGGAGTGTAGACTGAGGAGTGTAAAGTGTAGAGTGTGGAGTGTGGAGTGTTGAGTGGTAAGGAGTGTGGAGCGTGGAGTGTGGAGTGTGAAGTGTTGAGCGTGGAGTGTAAAGTGTTGAGTGTAAAGTGTAGAGTGTGGAGTGTGGAGTGTGAAGTGTGGAGTGTGGAGTGTAAAGTGTGGAGTGTAGAGTGTGGAGTGTAGAGTCTGGAGTGTAGAGTGCGGAGTGTAAAGTGTGGAGTGTAAAGTGTAAAGTGCGGAGTGTGAAGTGTCGAGTGTAAAGTGTAAATTGTGGAGTGCGAAGTGTAAAGTGTAGAGTGTGGAGTGTGGAGTGTAATGTACAGCGTGGAGTGTGAAGTGTAGAGTGTGGTTGTAAAGTGTAGGGTGTAAAGTGTAGAGTGTACAGTGTGGAATGTACAGTGTGGAGTGTAAAGTGTAAAGTGTGGAGTGTAGAGTATGGAGTGTAGAGTGTAGAGTGTGAAGTGTGGAGTGTGGAGTTTAGAGTGTGGAGTGTAGACTGAGGAGTGTAAAGTGTAGAGTGTGGAGTGTGGAGTGGTAAGGAGTGTGTGGAGTGTGGAGTGTAAAGTGTTGAGCGTGGAGTGTGAAGTGTGGAGTATAAAGTGTGGCGTGTGGAGTGTGGAGTGTTGGGTGTAAAGTGTACAGTGTAGAGTGTGGAGTGTGAAGTGTGGAGTGTAAAGTGTAAAGTGTGGAGTGTAGAATGTGGACTGTAGAGTGTGGAGTGTAAAGTGTAGAGTGTAGATTAAAGTGTGGAGTGTGAAGTGTAAAGTGTGGAGTGTAAAGTGTAAAGTGTGGAGTGTAGAGTATGGAGTGTAGAGTGTAGAGTGTGGAGTGTGAAGTGCGGAGTGTGGAGTGTAAAGTGTGGAGTGTAGAATGTGGAGTGTAGAGTGTGGAGTGTAGAGTGTGGAGTGTAAAGTGTAGAGTGTAAATTAAAGTGTGAAGTGAGAAGTGTAAAGTGTGGAGTGTACAGTGTAAAGTGTAGAGCACGCAATGCGACAGAAGTGCTGCGCCTGCGACGGAAAATGACAATGGATGTCTCCAAAGTGCTGCGCCTGCCACGAAAATTGCAACGTATCCTCTGAAAACGACGCAAAAGTATTGATAGTATTGCGCCTGCCACACAAAACAAGTTCGACACTTTTTCGACATTTTTTGCAGACGCGTAAGAATGTCACGAAGTGGCACGCCTGCCACGCAAAGCCACGTTACGACTTGTTTTGACACCATGAAATAGGATAGGTTTTGCAGCTTCCCCATAGACACGGCGAGGCCACAGGAAAGCCAGAGGCTCGAGACGAGACATGTTGGAGCATCAAAGCGAGCATTTCGTGCGAGACATCCTCTAATTTCACACTTTGTAGCTTCAAAATCGACGTTTTCCTGCGAGTTTACATCATTTTTTTTTCCGGAAATCAATGTTTCGTGCGAGGCTCTCGTCAATTTTCAGAACATCTCACAAAATGCCACGCATGCCACGGAATTTGCACGTTGTCAAAACCGGACGCGGCCCTGACAATGTGATTCGCAAAACCACGCAACACGACTCGTCCAAAGTGCTCCGCCTGCAGCGCAAAATGACGATGGCCACGTCCAAAGTGATGCGCCTGCAACGCAAAATGGCCACGTCCAAAGTGCTGCACCTGCCACGAAAACTTCAACGCAGCTTTTGAAAACGACGCAAAGGTATTGGGCCTGCCACTCAAAACCACTTCCGGCAAGTTACGAAACACGTCTGAATCTTACGAAGTGCCACGCCTGCCACGCGAAACGAAGCAACGCGACGCTGGAAACCTCCAAAAATGACTCCTGTTGCAGAAGTTACATATAGGCACGGCCATATGGCCCTCACACGGGGCACTTGCGGACGGTTGCGAACGGTTGCGGACCGTTGCGGACGGTTGCAGTCGTAAACGCAACGTCAAGCGAACACACCCCCAGACCCCAAGAGTGAAACGGGAACCCTTGCTAAGCATTCAGGAACAAATCTAATATTATTCTCTCGATACATCTTGGTACAGTGTCAGAATATCATAGTGAATAGAGTGGATAAGGCAATTCTTCAGGCCCCAGGGCTACAGGCCCCAGGGCTACATCTCCCGGTGGCATCAAATCATGTCAGTAAGAAGAAGGCCCTTAACTTGTTAAAAAAATGTTAATTACTTTACTTCGTGTGATCCCCACCATGACATTTATACATTTTCTTACTGGCAAATCTTCTGGCATTCTATCTGGCATATCTTCTGGCATATGTTCTGGCATATCTTCTGGCATATGTTCTGGCATATCTTCTGGCATTCTATCTGGCAAATCTTCTGGGATTTCTATATGGCATCATCTTATGGCAATTTCTATATCACATACTTCCCTGGCCTTTCTATCTGCCCGTTGAGTCCGGCAGGGCCCACCATCTGGAGCTAGCGGTTGAGGTCGGCAGGGCAACACTGGGCGATCTGGAGACGCGGTGAGGTCCGGCAGTGCCAATGCGATCTGGAAGTCGGGGTTGAGGTCGGCAGTGCAAACTGCGATCTGGAAGTCGCGGTTGAGGCCCGGCAGTCAACTGGGTCTGGAGCTGCGGTGGAGGTCAGGCAGTGAAACGGGGATTGGGCTCGCAGTGGAGGTCCGAGTGCCCACTGGGATCTGGACTGCGAGGAGGATGGTGGCGGCTGTGAGGAGGCGGAGGACCGGAGGTGGAGGCGGCAGGAGGCGGCGGCGGAGGAGGAGGAGGAGAACCCAGCTCTGATAAAATTCTATTCTGCTGATGTTAACTGGGTGCCCTAAGTGCCCTGTTTTTGCCTTTCTGAAGGCATAAGATTCTATCATCTCTGTCGGTGAGGGTTGTAAGATTTTATCATCTCTGTCGGTGAGGGTCTGAAGATTTTATCATCTGTCCCGGTTTCACCTGCATGAATTGACTCCCTGGCTTGGGGCGCTGTAACACCAAAAAAAACGGTCGGATGGGTATTTTACAGGGCATCGCCCATGGCTCAAATCGGATGTTGTGGCTCAAGATGGCTCAAGGCTCGGAACACTTAGTAAAAAGTAGGTGGCAGGCGTGGCACTTGTGTGTCAGGTTCATCTCTCTTACGCTCGGTTTTTGAAACCTGGTCGGATTTTGGATGGGACAGAATGGATGGTTGGGATGGAATGGATGGAAGGGCTGGGCTGGTGCGTGCCTCTCAAAGATAATGAATTGGTTTTTGGTTGTGAAGTTTTTTAACAAGGAAGTGTTTTAACATGTTGGTCAATGTTGGTCATGTGTTTCATGATGGTGTTTGTGGTCATCATGTTGCGTATGATATATTTCCATATTGTTTTTTTTTTGGGGGGGGCCAGGGCGGACCAATAATTCATCAACTTGGTTAAGAAACAAGGGTTTAGGATATCTTGATGGACTTAATGAACCTGATGTAACTTAGATTTAGATAAGATGTTCTGGCATATCTATGTTGTATGTTTCCAGCCAAATTTGCCATGGTCGATTGATCATTTTCCAGCCGGGTGCTGACACTGACGTTTGGCATGATGTTTTTTTTTGTATTTGTTTGGGCCTGTTGACGGTTGGTTCCTCACAGGTCCAAACTCAAAAATGGAAACAGTTGCAGCTGGCAACAAATCACGTTTGGAACAGAATGCTGGATTTTTTGTGGCAAGATGTTGGGAAAGAGTCCAGTCTTTTGACTGGGCTATGCATTTTTTTTGGTGAGGCTGACGGTGACGGTGGGGTTTGGGCCTGTTGACGGTTGGTTCCTCACAGGTCCAAACTCAAAAATGGAAAGAGTTGAAGCTGGCAACAATCACGTTTGGAACAGAATG